CGTGGTAGCTGTGATACTAAAATATCACAAACGCCAAGCAGGGTATGGCTACCAAAAACTCCAGAGCTCATAATAACTACTTCAAGATATTTTGAATTTATGTTCAGATTCATCACCCCAAGAGGGGAGAGGGCGGGGAAAAAACCCAAACCAACCAAAAATCAATAAACTAACAGCCCTGGAACACAACAATGCTTAGAAACATATTTCAACATTTTTAGTAATTAAGAAAACCTCTCAATCTAGTACTTTATCTTAAACCCTTAACTTGAAAAAGAATATAACTGTCTACCTCAAGGTGTTTCTCAAAGCATCTAAAAGCTAAATTTAGAGGTTCAAAGTGACTTGTGAAGTACAAGATAATTTTGGCCCTTTTTGCTTAAAAAAAAAAAAACAAACAAAAAAACCCAAAACCAAACCTCTTAGCTTTTTTAATCACTCTGAAACTGGGCCTGGCATGAGTTAAGCTGCAAAACAACCCCAAGATGTTCAAAGCAACTTAACCTCTCTTCAAAATCTACTCCTGTGGGTTGCTACCATCAAGATCTGACAGTCTTCAAAAGACATCAGTTTTCCTGGAGAAGAAGAAAACTTTAGGTAGACTAAAGACACTGGATTGCACGTGCCTAAGCTGCTGGTCGAGTCAACACTTGCTTCCCCATCAATAGTTTTTGCTCAATATATTGTGACACCAAATACAATCAATGTCTGTGCACCCAACTTGGGAGTTTACCATTAAGTCCCCATACAGCCCAAGTTAAATGGTGCACCTCAGAATTCAAAGACCAATGAACAGAACAAAGTAGGAAGCTTGACCACCCACAAAAGTGGGACTTTGAGTCTGATTTCTGCCTCCCCAAATGACAGCAGAACTGATCCCAACAAGCTAAAGTAAATGTGATACAATAAGGCTACTTCTCCGGCCTCAGGTTGGTGAAATGCAGATCTTACCTACCCCAGCACGTTCTACCCAGCAACAAAACCCCCTTGAGAGGAACCACGAAGGAAGTACTTACATTTCTGAGGATAATGAAACATGGATAAAAACAAGCCTGCTAAGTGCACATTCATTGAAGATGTTCCTGCATGGCTCAATTAATTTAGGAGGGAAAAAGTATAATGACAGTCTTGTTTTAGGTATCACTGAAGGAGTCACAGATTCCTAACTTAGGTGCCTGTATAGTCAGCAAGGTTTTCAAAGAACCCCGGCTGGGGTTCAAGTTAGCCCCTCTCTCTAAACCTGACTCCTTAAACAGTCTAAATTAGGCAATTCCAGTATTATCCTTCCCCTTATAGATGGAGTAATGAAGATCTTCAACAGGAGTGCCACTAAAATAAAACAAAAGCACAAAGAAACTACATTCTGTTCCACTGGTAACACGTTACACATCAAAAATCAAGACAACAAAGAAGTGAACCGATGACATGTAGGTAAAAGGATAAGCTGTAACTCGGTTTATTTAGAGTATTTCTCCATTGTTCAAACTGAAACTAAGAAACTGTGTTTCACACGGTTTTTAGCAACGCTCTTTAAATAAATAAGCCACAAAGGGCATACAAAATTCTTACATTTAGGAAAAAACATACAGTCTTAAGATCTTTCATAAAACTAACAACTGTGTACAACAGTGGATAGAATTACAGTAACAAAACACAGGTCAACAACACTGAGGGTCTTTTAATTCCATAAATATTAAGCTTTGTGAAGTGTAATTGCCCTTAAAGTACTTAGGTTGAAGTCCTATATCTATATACATCTATCTCTCTCCGTTAGAGAACCCTTCATTAGAATCATAGTGAGCTTGTGAAATTGTTTTTGGCTTTGAGTTCTGAACCAAGTCCATTAAGAGAACCATTTTATTATCTATGTGTGTCTGAAGAGCCTGGATTTGGAGATCAATATAGTCCATTAGTTTCTTCTCCATCAGATCCATATTTTTTGAGATGATCTTTTCCAAATAGGAGCAAATAGGCTGTTGTTCTCCTCTGTGAAAAGAGCAAATATAAGAGTAAGTATAACCTGTTTCTTAATGACAAGGGGCATGATGGAGACCTGGGCACTTGAACTTCTTTTAAATGTAAAATCTCATTTATAAGACAATAAACTTTGGAGGGTATTAGGTTTTTAGCACAAGTAAAATATCTTGCCTGCTTGCCACATTTTAATTTTAAGATTTTTTTTTTTTTTTTAAATAAACATGTTAGGTTACATAGTCATCTTCTGTCAACCTCATTTTTTCCAGAGGCTCAATTATGCATTAGACAGCTTAGTTATGTCTAACAAAATCCACACAGCTCAACAGTGCAGAGGTCATTCAAATTCTGTCAGCATGGCAGGCTTTATTCTTCTCCCTTAAAGTGTTTCAGGAGTTATACAAACTATGCAATTCTTTATTTTTCTATCTGCATTCTTTAAAAATCCTGCACTTTGCCAGGAGCTGGAGATATTCAGGCTCTATCAGAACCCCAATTCCTCCATCTCAGCGTTTCCAATATCATTCCTTAGTTATCAAACTGGGTGAGCTACTACTATGAAGTTTACACTGTAAATGCCAACAAATGAGGAGGGACGGGGAAGATCAGTGGGATGAGACACACTAAGTACAGCGTGAAAAAAGGAATGGAGAAGAATTTAGGAGGTAGAAGGAATCAAAATGAAAATGTAGTAACAGACAGGAACGAAACTAAATGTATATGAAATTGCAGAAAGAACATCTTTTTTTTTTTCAAATCATAAAAGGTGAAATGGAGGCAAAAGACACAGTTTAGTATCAACAACTGATGTTCTGATTTCCTCTGAAAAACTCCTATAAGCAATTAATTTTGCAGATAAGCTGCTTGAAATCATGTTCATTGCCACATCGCCTTCAAAACCACAGATTTTAAAACTCACTATTGCTGTTAGTGAGAATAAAATGCTTACATGACATATTTTATTTTTTAAACTTGTCAATAAATACAAACTACTAGCTTAATAAGCGCACCACACTTAACTTACCCATCACACTGAATGCCTTCCTCTTTAGTCACTGGGTTTTTACCAAGATGCCTATCACCATCCTTTAGCCGAAGATAATTTACCCGAGTACACAAGTTCTGAAGAAAAGGCAGCAGCACCTGTGGATTAGCCACGTCTGGGGTCTCGCTCCCCTGTTCCTGCATATGCAGAGATCCCATGACTTTAAAATAATTTCTGAGGTCAACTGTATTTTGCTGCATAGTGAGTTTTTCAGGATCAGAAGCATTCCCCCTTTCAGGTATCTGTGTGTTCAGATCATGACTTATTTTTAAGTCTTCATACACTGTTTCACTTGAGAAGTTATTTTTAACAGGCGAAGGTTCACTGGCTGATTGATCTAGTGATGTCTGAATAGCTGCACTGCGCAATCCGTCTATTGCATGGTCACCTCCAAAGTCTGAATTTTTCCCAAAGATCCAATTAAGTTTGTCTCCAAGATGTAAACTGTTCTGATGGGAAGAAAAACAAAATAAGTCATATTAAAATATACTGGAAATTATACAACAATAACAATAGATAGTTTGTAACTCAGCATTCTACCAGTGTGATGTAAAGATTTTAAAAGTAGTTCTGAATTATGTTCTCAGGGAAAAGCACATGAAAATATTTTCCCTGTCCATATTATGTGTTAATTATCTTGTCAGTCCGTAAGTAACAGAACAGTTTTACTGACTTTATTTTTACCACGCTCTGTCCCCAGAACTGAACATTATTCATATAGATGGATTCGGGATTCTGTTGAAATAACCTACTTTGCAGTATTAGCACCCAAATCACATAAATGCTCTGTAAGATCATGTTCCCTTTAGTTGAAGGTGACATGCTTTTAATAACAATAAAGGAGACAGAGCAGCCCATCTACCTACACCCCAAACGTTACAGGGAACATGCTCACCATCCTTGACAAGAAGTGACAACAGAAATGAACAAAAGGAGAGTAAGGTGACAATGAAGTTTTAAATTATGATGATACAGAGTTCTTAACTCTGGACCTGGTGTGTGCACAGTGTTTCTTTGAGTACACAATCTTTATTCACTGCACTCCTTATTTAAGGGTGGCAGTAGCTAAAACAGGATTAAAACAGCAGAAAGTTTAGGTTAAAAAAAAAAAAAAAGGCAAAAATATTTTTCACTAAATCAGTTTGGAACATGTTTAACTGTTACAGACAGTAAGGTCACAGTTCAGTACTATTTATGTTTATGGAAAAGCACAGTGACTTACTTTCTGCTGACATCGGACCATGTCCATGAGCTGCTGAGCACCTGGAGACAATTTAGATCCCATGGATTCCATTATAGTTTGCACTCTGTCTAGATCTATGCTTGAGCCTAGCGAAGGAAAATCAGCTGCTAATTTTGTAGACGCTGTTTTCACTTGCACAATTATTTTACTGATGAGTACTCTTTGTTTCTCACCAATGGAGAGCAGCTGTTGCAAGAAAGAAAAAAAATAGCTTCATGTTTTCTTTGTGTGTATGGGACAATCCATTATTCTTTGAGTCCTGGCTAAAACAACACTGAACTCTTTTCCAGGGAAGTTAAGCTGATTTCTTCCTGCTATTACTCTTTGCACAATTCTGACTGGAACAGAGGTGCCTGCATGACCCAAAGATAAATCAGGCTTTGATCTTCTAAGCACTTCAGATCAGTGGCCATACAGATTGTCAGAAGTTTATTTAACCATATCAGAGTTAACAGTTCTAATTGCATAGCAACTGTTGATTATCTGCAGTTTATCTGGTTTTCTCATATAAAAACCTCATACAAAAACTTTCTCATATAAAATCATCATAAAAAGAAAACTGTGACACAAATTTAAAAGAACTCTGCTATCCAAAGTACCATCTAACAGATTTTTTAAGTGACTCCATGAAATGATGAAGTGCATAAAACCAGGAATTTGACTAAGAGCAATGCCATTTAGTCAAGTAAGTGATTAAAAAGATAAAAAGAAAAATAAAGCAATTCTGTTCAACTCCCTACCTTAATTCTACAGGAGGCTGCAGGGCATTCGAACTCAAGGTACTTCTTGTATAAAGTAACCTTTTCTGTTTCACTAGAAAAATAAAATAAACGAGCTGTGACATGAATATATAAAGTACCTTTTTCTTTAGTAGAAATACACAACATCAGTAAATATTTAGATAAAAAACAAGACTGACTGGAACATATTTCTAATGTGGTAGAGCATTTTTAATGTTTATATTCAACTTGTACTGAATCTTATCAGATATGTATGGAAAAAAAAGGATTTGTATGCGTACGTACATTATCTACTAGAGAAGATTTTGAGGTTCAGTACGTTATTCACACATCTTCCCTGAGGATCTGAGTCGGCTGTTTGTATTTAGCTAATTAAGCAGCAGACGTGCCATGTAATGACTTAAAAACAAAAGAGAAGACATTGCTTTAATTCCCCTGGCAAAGCACGGAAGGAAGTATAGAAGGGGAAAACAAATCCTTCTTTTTTTTACTTTTTCCTCATGTTCTTGACATGTGAGATGACTACATAACAGAGAGGCAAGAGATCTTTTGGTAAAGATCAGCTAAAACAGACCTGCTGAAGAGATGAGCAGCTCTGTTGTCCAGAAAGGTTAAATAACACAAAGCAACTGCACCTCTCCTAACTCTTTCTGTACTTACACAACAGAGTGACACTTTATAACTTACTGAATTAAATGTTTCACTAACTATAGAAACTAAAAAGGTAACTAGCAGAACTGCAGCCTTTTATCTGTATCGAAGCAGCAGCATTTGTACAAGTCACCGGCAAGTGTGAGGAGCAGCACCAGGGTTATCCCAGGCGACTGCAGTGCCTGTGCCCACGCACCCGTTTGGCACAGAGCTTCAAGGAAGAGCAACGCGGGTGTCTGTCCCTCGTGGGGCAGCCAGGTCTACCAGTGTGAGCACAGAGAAGGGCCAGGCGGTGTGAGGGACCCCGGTGCCCGCGGCCACAGCCCACACTCACCCGGGGGAAGGGGCAGCGCCCAGGCTCTGGCCCCGGCCGGTGCCGCAGTACT